TTTTTTTTGGTTTTTCTCTGGTACCAGGAACTGAACTCATGACCTTGCGCTTGCCAGGCAGGCGCTTTTGCCGCTGAGCTAAATCCCCAGCCCCTGCCAACATTGTTTTATTTACCAAAATCTGCAATATGGTAATGTATCCTGTTTTTCTCCTTTAAGATTGTTTCCTTCCTCAAAATAAGATTATTGTGCTAAAGATTTTGGTTTTATTTGCTAGCTCTTGGTATTCATACCATATGACTGCATTGCCAGAATCTGTATATATAAAGTAGAGAGGGTTGTCACCTGCTTTGCATGGGTGCTTGGGGGCTCCTCCTTGGTGGGGCAGTGGAGGGCTGAGGCATTACAACTAAGATATGTTGTCAGAAGAATTGCTTACAGTCATCTTTGGCCACTAGGAAAATGCAAATCAAAATTACATTGAGATTTCCTATTACCCCCCATTCGGCATGGCTATCATCAAGAATCCTCCCTACCGCAAGGATACTAATGCCAGGAAAACAGGAACCCTTGTATGTGCTCATGGGAACGTAAATAGTGCAACCACTATGGAAATCATATAGAGATTCCTCACAAAGCTAAAAATGGAAAGTCCACTTGATTCAGCTATACCTATACCTCCCCTGGATATATTCCTGAAAGAATTGAAGATAACGTGTGATCCTTGCATACCCATGTTTATAGCAGCACAATTCACAATAGCTAAGCCGTGTAAATAGCCTAGATGCCTGTCAGCAGATGAATTGGGAAAGAAAATGTGGTGTGGTACGTATAAGCAATAGAGTATTATTCAGCCAGAAAGAAAGCTGAAATAATGCCATTTGCAAGAAAAAGGATGGAACTTGAGCCAATCATGCTAAATGAAATAAGCCAGACTCAGAAAGTTAAACATCACATGCTTTCTCTTACATGGAGTAAGTAAATAAATATGTAAGCGATGCCAGGAGACTATGAGGCACTTCAAGAGATGGGGGAGGGGTTCAGTTGGAGTAGGGGAGGAAAAGAAAAGAGAGTTAGTGGAATTTAAAGTAGTCGGGATGTGTTGAATGTCAGGACCGAATTCCCCAAATGAACCTTGCAATTCATAATGAACATGTGCACGGAAATCTGCTGAGGTGAGGAATTGTCTTGCTAGGTGAGGGCATGAACCAGGATGAGTAAGACCTGGACAAAATGTGAGGTCTTTAGGAGCCCTGGCCTGCCCAAGGAGTCTCATGGGAATGAGGAGATGTTGGAGCCCCACACAGATCAGTAGGGAAGATTTGGGGACAGACCCTTTGGGTGGGTTTCAGTGTCCACGTGTCATCGTGAAGGGTGGTTGCCGACGTGAAGTGGGATGAGTAGTGGCAGCGTCTTCGATTTACTTTGTTTGGCAGGGGGGCACTTTAATGAATCTATTTGCTGCCACTTTGGCCTCATTCTGTTTATTTTCTACTTCATTAATTTCTATACTCTGCATTGTTATGATCACGTCTTCCCTTGAAAGAAAGAATAAAAGGATGTGCACAGTCCTGTTAGAAATATAGTCGCCTTTTAAAAAGAACTATTGTAGCCCTTGAAAGCTTCCTGAGTGTCCTTTGCAGAACCCTTGATATCAAGGAACTTGTGATTTCAAGTGTGTGTTTGAATTACTGAGAGCGTCAAAGGGCTGCTAGGAAGCTCACTGAGGATTCCCCACGAGAGGTGGCCTTGGGAATGAAAGACTGCACCATGGCCCACTGTGTTTCTCTCCAAGGCAGAGTCAGAGGGCTTAAGATGCAGACTTGGAGGAAGATTAGCGGTCTCAGAATGAGGAGCTAATTTCCACACAGTGAAGCAATGTTGAGGTCCTGAGGTTGTGTGTCATTTGCTGACCAATAATAACCACAAGCCTTTCCTGAGTCCTCTTTGGTGCCAGGCATTGGTCTTACCACTTTACCCACACTTTCTCATGGAACAAATTTTAACAACGTAAGGTGGATTCTGCCATTATGAATTTATAGATAGGGAAACTGAGGCCAAGAAGGATTTACTAGAATCATGCAGAGCCCGAACCCAAGAAATCTGACTTGGCACCGCGGTATATACTTGTGGTGATACGATGCCAACGCCATCCCATCCTGCTCCTCTCTTCTTACAGTCTCTCTCTCGCTCTCTGTCTCTCTCTCTCTCTCTTCTCCCTCCTCTCCTCTCATCTCTCATCTCTAAGCTTGGGTGGAGATGAAAAGTTGGGTCAAGTTCTGATTTGACAGTGAAGTTGTTATTTTGTACTTTATTGGATAACAAAAAGTTGAATAGTTTATTTCAGGATACATTAAAATGTTCCTGTGTTAATGGGCTCAAAGTGCCCTGTGTTCTGCAACATTACAGCAGGGGGGAAGGTCATTGAGGCCACAGAACGTTTGATGTTTGTGTTTGATGTTTGATGTTTGATGTGGATGGTTACGAGCATGCTAGAGTCTCAAGACCCACAACAGTGGAATTTAAAATGCAGCTGGAGATGTGACCATGAGAGACTTTCATTTCAAGGGCTTATTTTTTAGCTAGGTGGTAAATAACGTATTCTGTGTGTATCACCTGTCTGTATGTCTGTTTAATCTCCCATAGAACCCATCACCATACTCTGAATAATATCAGTTTATATTTGTAAATTTCATCTGGTTGGAGGTGAGGGGAATAGATCTGAAATTATCCAGGGTATGACTACAGTTTACTGGCAGAAATGAGAAGAGAAGAAAGGCTGCTAGAGCAAATTTATGTAATTAGAAGGAAGAGAGGGGAGCTATTTCTCCATGCTGGAGAAGTGAATGTGCTTGGGTCCCTCCTCACTGCTCTGGTTGGTTTTCTGGTCTCTATTGCATGCTTTACAGGATGCCTGGCCTGGGCTGGTGTGAGAAATGTAGCTAAGCACCACTGGAGGCCGAAATCTCACTGGAGGGTGGAGTCTGCAGCTTTGTAACTCTTACCAGTGAGCTCTCAAGCACTGGAAAACCAAATATGACACTGTGTTCATCTCTTTTTTATTTTATTTATTTTATTTTGTTTTGCTTAGGACCTTTGTGTAAATGGTGCTCAGATACTATACTTTAAAAGCTCATTAGTAGAGGAAGCAGTCAATGAGCTAATAAACATGTTGCTGGATGTGGAAGAAAATGAAAAAGCATCTAATGAGCATAATGTTGATTCAAAAACCAAAACCTCAGGTAAGAGAACAAGGAAAAGAAAGGGTCTTGTTTTTCTAGAATACTTACGTAAGACTATAATTTTCTACATAGCAATTAATTTCACATTTCTGTCAAGACTATCTCAATGTTGTGATATTTATAAATCTGAAGTTGTAATTCTGAGCATGTTGTAATGATTCCATGTTGTTAATTCCCGTTATTGGGTGTTAAACTTTGCACACCTGTACTTTGCTTTAGCCCTCTTTGACATGTGGCTCTCTTTAAACTTTTGTAGGCATAAGTTCTTTATTTCCAAGTTACCCACAGAGTGTGATGGGTTATGGATTAGGATTCCCACTGCAGGGTACATAGGCTAGAGAGAATCTTTGGTGGATAGATGAGTGCCCTGAGAGGTGGAGAAGGGAAGTTATTCTCTCAAAGTTTTAGGGCTACTGGTGGGAGAAAGAACCCCAGGCCCCAGGCTCCTGGGGCTCAGTTGAAGATTGTGTATCTGTGCTCCTGAATCTCTCATGGGCCATTTTCTTGCTTTGAGGAGAGGGCCCTGTCAATCTCTCTGTTGCTCTAATTTCCTTTTCTCCTAATATTTAATAGGCTCACTTTCTAAGAAACATGACACGTGACGTTAAACTTGCATGTAATTTATTTTAATTTTAACTTTCTCCTTTTAATTTTACCTCTCCCCACATCTGTTTCATCTTGGAACAGCAAAAAGGGAAGAAGGAAGTCCTGATGCCGTGACATCGTCTCCTAATTCTGGGGGTGGCCCCTTGCCCTCCCCAGCAGTCACAAGAAAGAAGAAAGAGACCGAGATGTTAGAGGAGGAAGCCTGTGAGCTGCTGTCTCATTTCAACCATCAGAACGTGGATGCTCTTCTGAAAGTTACAAGGAATACGCTAGAGGCCATTCGCAAGCGCATCCATTCCTCCCGCTCGATCAGCTTCCTGGGTAAGGGTCCTGTGCCATTCACTACTGGCTTATCACGAGTGTTGCTGGTGTGTGTGTGTGTGTGTGCGCGTGCATTCCTGTTAAATTTGAATAATTTAACCCCCTACTGTTTATGGAGTGTTTCCTTGTAGAACTGACCATGAAATATGGTCATCCCAACAATTCTATGACTTCATACATTAAAACTGAGAAAACTAGAACACAGAGAGGTTAATTTTCCTAAGGTTTTATTAATAACATGAAAGTAAACATCACTTTTAATCTTTTTGTAATAAGATAAAAAACATAAAACATTATAATTTGAGGAAGCAAAATACATCTTTTAAAAAGAAAATAAATAGAAAAGTTACTCATTGTTAAATTATCAGATGATTCATCAGTCTTATTGTGTGGAAAAGATCTTTATAGCAGGCTCTTCTCTTTCTTTTCTTTTGTTTTCTTTTCTTTTCTCTTTTTCTTTTTCTTTTTCTTTTTCTTTTTCTTTTTCTTTTTCTTTTTCTTTTTCTTTTTCTTTTTCTTCCTTCCTTCCTTCCTTCCTTCCTTCCTTCCTTCCTTCCTTCCTTCCTTCCTTCC